GGTTCCCTCGAAAACAAGGTTGGGCGACTACCTCCCGAACTACGAGGAGACCGCGGGCACCGTTGCAGGGCGGGAGGCGGCTAAGGAGTTGATGAGACTGCTCTCGTGCGATTTCGAGGGTCTGGTCATCAACTCGAAGAGAGTCTCGGAGTTATTCGAGGAACGTGTGCTGAAGGAGACCGGGCGTGAGGCTGGAAACTGGGTGAAAAGTGACCAGGCCATCTGGTTCCTGAAGGAGATCTCGGGCATGGAGAACGCCGAGATGTCGTGGAAGTTCTTCATTCCGACGCTCAAAGCTTTCCCGATAGGGCAAGTTGAGGCGATGCTCATGGTCATGTACGACGGGAATGGTGTCCTCCTCAAGGAGAGCACTAGGTTAGTGGCCGTTAGGCACACGCGGATCGGACGCGACATGAGTTACAGTGCCGTTAGGCAAAGGTACACCCAAGAAGATGCGCCTGGCGGATCTCTGATGTACGAGATGCATTGGAATGAACTCCCCATGGTGGGGTACGTCGTCATGAAGTTCTCGGACTTTAGGAAGGCGGTTCAGCTCCAAAGGATGAGGCGAAACGGAAAGGCCATGATCGAGATATTGATCACGAGGCCCGATGTGTCCGAGACCATTGGAGATGGAAGGCAGGATGAGGGCCTGATCCCACTTGTGGGAACCATGGCGCCGAATGCCGAGGTATCGCCTTCGTGGTACGTCAGGGACAGGCTACGAAACTACTCGGGTAGATACGTGGTGGTGATGGTGGACCTTCGGGTGCACTGGTCCTTGGTTGGACCTGTGTTTTTGACGAGGAGGAAGACCCTTGCGGTTCGGAACGAGATCCACATGGGGGCTTGGAAGGCAGCATACATGTACGATGATTACACGATAGTGTACCATCGGGCATGGGACTACGGCGACTTCACCCCCGTTAGGGGAGAGCACAGGCGATCGCGTGAGGAGGTCAGGTTGAATGTGACCACCACGTTCTGTTTGAGGTGCGCGGAGATGACGCCAAATGGGATGCATTTGTGTCCTGGGTGTGCGCTCCCGGTCTTCTACCCGAACTTTATCCCCAACGCGGAGGAGAATGACTTCGAGGGGTGCCGCATCGTCCCGGAGTGGGTGAGGACCATGGGGCAGTTCAAGCCCAAGAGGATCCCCGCCGAAGTGGTCGGAGTCATCAAGAGGAACCTGATTTCCTATTCGATGGCGTCTGACCTGAGGATGACGGTGCAGAGCGGCATCAGACTGCCCCCTTATCTTGGTGAAGACAAGGGAGGAGTTGATACGGCGTGGGATGAGCTGGCGAAGGTGCTCTTCCAGTTCTCCTATGTGTCGGGGATTTCGGCCTCGGATGCGTTCGTGGAGAAGTGGGTGGCGAAGCACCTGATTATGACCAATCAAGTCGATAGATTTGATTCGGTCACGGAGTACTTCCGTGCTAACCCGAGGCATGCTGCTCAGTGGGGTAGGCGTATGACGACTTCCGTTAGGAAGTTCGCTCGTCATGATACGTACTTATCCTTCTACATCCCGATGGCGTATGTGATTGGCTCCGCGGCGGGTCATCTGACTCCGTTGTATCCGACCCATCGGAAGGACGTGGACATCCTGGCCAGCCATGCGTTGATATCGCAGCTCAGGGGGTACATGGTGTCGGCGACCGGATACGATGAGAAGAAGAGATTGAAGGAGGCGATAGCCAAGGTGCAGAAGGCAATCAGTGCCGGGCAGTCGGAGCCTCCCGCTCCCTTCCGTGACCCATTCGTCTACGTTAGTGACGAAAGGGTAAGGACGGTCCTTGATGGTCGTCAACCGGAGCCATTGCACGTGGATATTGAAGGACTTCAATCGGTGCATCATGCTGCGCCGGGTCCTGGTCCCAAGCAGGAGCCGGTCACCAAGGGCGGAAAAGGAAAAGGGAAGAAGGGAGAAAAGGGCGGTAAGGGCGGTAGTCCTTCCGGCCCACCACCGAAGTCGGGTGAAGTGCCAGGTAAAGGATCTGGGAAGGGCAGCCCATCTGTCCCAAAGGCAAAAGCAAAGGATGATGCTGGACCAGCTCCGATGGAGGTTGATGCAGCAGCGGCTCAGCCGAAGAAGACTTGGGTCGCGATAGCGGTTGAAGGGGCCCGGCCGAGTGCGAAGGCTAAAATGACCCCGGTTCCAAAGGCCGAGCCAAAAGGAAAGGTCGCTTCAGTGTCTGAGGCGAAGAGTGCTCCGGCTCCAAAGGCTGAGGCTAAGGCGAAGCAGGCCGAACCGAGAGTTGAGGTCAAGAAGGAGAAGGTAGGCGGAGACGACGCTCCTGGCGGTAGTCGGGGTTCGGCTGAAGGGCAGAAGAGAGAAAGGAAGTCCCGTTGGGATCCTGACGAGACTGTGAAGGAGTCAACGAAGCGAGAGGCATCGACGAGGCCTGATGACGTTGACAGCAGACCAGGTGCGGCAGCAAGAGAGGCTAGTGGAGATGATCTTCACTCCGCGCTTGGCAGATCTTCGGCAAAGGATGCGGTAGCGCCTTTGACGGCCTCCAAGGCGATGGCAAAGAAGCCTGAAGGCGGGGAGATCCGGTTGCAGTCTGCTGAGCGGGCTGCGGCGAGCCCGGTGGAGGGTCACTTCCTGGTGCTGCCTGAGGGTTCGGTGGTGGACGCTTTCTTGTCGATCTCCACCAACAGAGTGCTGAACAAGCAAGTCAGGGATTTCATCAGAAATGGTGAGGACGCGTCAGCACTGGAGGCTCTCAACCAGATCGTGACGAACTCTCGCTCTGGGAGGAGGCGTAGGGAATCGGATGTTTCCCGTACTCCTTCTCGGAGGTCCGTTAGGACCGTGGACACCAGGGATTCCAGAGAGTCGAGAAGGCGCAGATACCGTCCGCGGCGCGAGGATGATCGAGACCGGAGGAGGGACGATGCTCGTGATCGTCGTGATGATGATTCACTCGATCGGGAGCGAGATCGAAGGCGAGATGATCGCAGGAGATCCGAAAGGGATCGTGATAGGGACCGTGCGCGGGGCGGACGTGACCGGAGGAGACGTGACGATAGCCGGTAGGCTGAGTCACGGAGGATTGCGGCCGATAGGCTTGCGTCCATTCTCCAATGGTCGGCGCGGTGCGGAGGTGGTGATGTTCCTCCCGGACCGCTGAGGCGCGGAGGTCATGTCTCTCCCATACCGCTGCTGGGCTGCTGGACGTGTTCATCAGGAAGCATTGTGAGTGAGAGGGAAAGCAAACTGATGGGGGGTTACTCCCGGGTTTGCGGAATTCAAGCATTTTTCAGGTACGCATGGTCAGGAGTACCTCTTGCCGTTAGGTGAGGGTACTAATGGACATACGTTATCTTTTTATTCATGGCTTCTGATAAGAATTAAACTTCTTGCATTGTTGATGCAAACAGTTGTGACCTAGTGTCGTCATGTGGACCTTTCCACAAGGTATGTTGGACAGCGTTACCCCGATTAATTCGGGGTGGTGGCGGGAATTTAATGCCCGGGATGTCGCGCAACTGCCTTTGTGGGTTTGCTCCACCGCTGACGGCGGTAGTGTCCAGCTGTTTGCGGACACATGCGAGCAGTTAAATCCTATCAGTAAATGGCACGCTCCACCCGTCATTTGACGGGCTCCTCGTGAGGGGGGTGTGATTAGCCATGGTTAATATCATCATCAGGGACGTCGCGTTAGTGACCGACCTGTGGTGTTTTGGCTCAAGTTTTGGGTTCCGTCGCGCCTCGAATGGGCGTCGCCGAACCCCTGCGTCGACCGACGGCATCTCGGGGGAGAAAGAGACCTCGGGCCGCCGCCAGGTTGGTAGGGACCAGTCGTGCGGCCTGTTGTCGACCAAGGTTGCGGGTTAACCCTTTTCTTGTTTGGTTTGTTTTCCTTTGGTTGTTGTTCTCTGGTGTGTGGGAAACCCTGATCTTTGGGACCGGGGATTGGTTTGCTTTTGGGGAACCTTTCTTTTGTGGCTTGTTTACCCCAACTTACCCATTGCCTGGGCACAGGCTCGTGCCCGAATCACAATTGAGTTTGTTTTTCGAATGTCTTTTGGGTAAAGGACACAGATGGTGGTGCATTCCTGTTGTTTCTTCATTGGAGGCGGCTTTCCCTCTTAACAAACAATCGCCAAAAAGGGAAGGGGACTTTGGGGGTGCGGGACTAAAATCAGTTGCCAAAAAGGGAGGGGGTGGAGGCGGGACTTCGGGGGCTCCTGGCAGTTTGGCAGGGGGGGACCAATGGATCTCTTGATAGTGTTTTTTTCCCCAACAGCTGAAAGCGATTTGGGGTCTCCGTCCAAACAAGCTCTGGGGTGGTTTGGGGCAGCTTGGAGGGATGGTTCCGGAGGGTTCCGGAGGGTTTCAGAGGCTTCCGGGGCTGTTGGGCATATCACTTGGGCTTGTTACACTTTGACGTTTGCTTTTGGTTGGGGCCAAAAGCTGAACACGAAACGAAAGCTTCAAGAACAACCATGTCCTCTCCACTCCAAAGGGGTCAGATTGATTCAAGAGCCCAATGCAAACGGGGCAATGGCACTGCTCTCCAGAAAAAGAAAAAAAAGGAATCAAGATCCTGACTCAAGTTGCATCCCCAAGCAACCGGGTAACCGGATCCCCGTGCTTCAACCCCCCCCACAGTCAGAGGTCGTTTTCCCCCAACAGTTGAAGGCTATGGAGTGATTGCGGGCAGCTTTCAGGGAGGGTTCAGGAGGGTTGCACGCTGGCCCGGAGACTCCGCACGGAGTAGTGGTACGTAGTTGAGAGCCTAGGGTTGCTAAAGGCTTCCTAGAATTCTTTAGGGAGCCGAGCCCCCCCTTGCACCACCCCCTTGCTTAAAGGGCATTGGACTGGGTAAGTGGTCAGTAAGCCTGGTTACCCACAAAAGGTATGGTTATCAGTCTTTTCTTCAGTGGGTTACAACCACCGGGCTTAGAAACCACGTACCTGACGTCCAATGCCCCTTTAAGTAGGGACCCCCCCACCAGCTGCTGGCTTGCATCGCTTGCATCTGCAGGTCTCAGATCTGCTTCGTGAGGGCCAGGCGGGAGAAAAACAACTTGACACCGAAGCTGCAGGGCTCCTAAAATCCTCGTGTTGACCACGTATCAATCAAGCCCTGTTTATCAATATAGGGCTGTTCCCCTCCAAAGGTGATGATCCCCAAACCGAAACCCCAGGACACCCCCCATACAATAAACTGGGGGTTGATTAAGATGGGGTCAACATTGAAGTCCATGAGCTCAGGTACAGGGATTTGACAAAGTCGTGCCTCCGTTTGATGCATTTTTTTGAATTCCATGGGGGAGAGGGTTTCGAAGAAGTTTTTGCCTTTTTCCAAAACACATAGGAACTCTGTATGTTTGAAGGGATAGGCTTTTGGGAGGCATTGCGGTTGAAAATGGGCATTCCGTGGGGTTTAGGATGGTTTAGGCATGTTCTATGTTGTCCGCTAAGAAGCGTTCACACTGTGTTTCGCAATCTTGAGACATGCCTTCTCTTTTGCTACGCTGGCGTGTGTGGAGCGCAGAGCGGGTGCGCTTGAGCGGGTGGGTGCGCTTGCCATTTGGCTGGCGTGTGTGCAGCGCTGAGCGGGTGCGGGCGCGTGAAAAGATGGCTGGCGTGTGCAGCGCTGAGGGGGTGCGCTTGAGCGGCTGGCGGCGCGGAAGTGAGTTGTCGGGAGCGGGCGTGGAAGTGAGAGAACTTGTGGGCGCGAGTTCGGCACATGAGGGCCCAACTCTTTAACGGACGATCCGTGATCTCGTTTCGATCTCGTTTTCTTGCCAGGGTGCTTGCCTGCTTTCCAGAGAAAGAACTCCAGGACATGAGAAAGACGGTGCAAGACACAGCAGAATATTTCGTCACGTTAGAGCTGATGAAGCGAGCCGGGCAAAGGCAACCCATTGTAACATTTCTTCCTAAACTCCCTCGCAGCGAGTTAGTTGTGCCTTAAAATATAGGCTCCCTCTAGTCTCTTTTTCTTGCTGGTGCTCGGTAGGGAATGACCTTCCGGGCGTTGGGATTGAAGCGGAAGTTCATTGTTGAGAACCTGCAAGTTTTTGAACCAACAAAACGGTCTCACTTTTCGTTTGTGTCTTTTGCTGCGATTTTTGGAAACTCGAACACCCCAAAAGGTATTTTTATTTCTGACTCCTGAGTGAGCATTGTTACAGCCCAAAGGTTCAATGTTTGGCCCTTCGGAGGGGCGCGATACTATCCTTGGGAATGTAGGGTTCACTCCCCTCGGAACCAACGTGGATTCTGGAAACCACGTGTAGACAAATGAACAGCCATGCGCGTGTGCCTGTTGAGAGGCACGCCCAGCCCAGAGTCGGTCAATGAGCCGAAGATGAAGCAACCGCTTTCTTACTTGATGTACACCCCGTTGACCGAATCGGTCCTTTGGAAAGCAGTAGCAAGGAGTTCGAAGATCACCTGAATGGCCTCCTTGGAACGTTGAACAGAATCGCTGAGATTCTCATCATGGGGGTCAAGACCTACAACGGCCCACGTTTGGAAGTTGGAAGTCGTCCTGCGCGAAATCCTCCGTGAAGAAATCCAACGCTCTTTCTAGTTTCTGTGTGTGTTGTCATGTGCATTATGTGTATGTGATATATATATATATATATGTCAACGTGTGTGTGTGTGTGGTTGTGTGTGTGCGTGTTGTGTATGGTATATGTGTGTGTGTGTGCTGTGTATAGTAGGTCCGTTTATTTTCCAAGACACCTCCAGCATACCTTTTGAGCATAATTACGAGACCCTATGAAAGGAATCTGCATGATGGGAAGCTTGGGGTATGCAAAAGGTATGTCGGAGGTCTGGAGGGTTCTTGGATATGGCTGTGGGTCAAATCCCTGTACCCCCTGTGAGCATCAAAACAGGTGGTATGGGTGTTCATCCGCCCCAAAATGGAGGCATAGGTTTTGACCCATGGCCATATGTGTATGTTAGCTGTGTGCGCGTGTTATGCCAGAGCCGAGCAAAGCCATCGCCACGGCCCTAGGTGGTGGGGCAAGGCCGCGAGGGCCGCTACGCGGCGGTGCGTGCCACGGACCGCGTTGGGCATCGGTGCGCCCGAGCCATTCCGAATCAGCTCAGGGGTCGACGGTCCTCGTATGGGTGTGTCTGAAAATATGGGGTCCCCCCAAAACATGAAAATATGGGGGTCCCCCCAAATTTGAAAATATGGGGGTCCCCCAACATGGTGGGTTTCGTTGGGTTTCCCCTTTTTTCTCAACCCAACAGGTACCTTCACAAAACGACAGCCCCATCTGTGCCATGGGCAACGACCGGTTCCTTTACTTGGGGTTAGCAGGGATGGCTCTTAAGTCACCTGGTAAGGATCCTTGATGAATGAACATACTGATTCCTAGGAGCTGTTTAAAACCACCAAAACACGGGCACCCTGAACGAAAGACACACCCATGTTTGCAATTTTGGTGCTGTTGAAAATCGCCTTTTGCCAAATGGTGAGCTTCCTTTGGAGTGACTGATGTCTAGGGGAAATATGGGGAATCCTGTAATTGGTGGTTTGAGTTGGTGGTTTTTTGACACCCCCCCCCCCTCTTGGGGGAAGGTGGGGCGTTCAGCACCAAAGGGAATTCCCTTTTTGTCAGGAGAAATATGTATTTCTCTTAACACTGAAGGACTGAAAATGGTACCCTAAGAAAAAGACAGACCCATATGGCTGGTTGATATTTATAGGCCGATCCATTGGATAGGGGATTTGTCGGATCTGTGCCGTTGAAAAATATTTGATCAATCCGGGTTTTCACATAGGGAGGGTGACGCAAGGGCCTCCTTTTTTTTTGGGGGGGGGGAATTTCGGGGCCCTCTGCTTGAAGGGGGTTTTTGGGTGGGAAGGATTGAATGCGGGATGTGCTGAAACCACTGGAAAATTAAGAGCCTATGGCCGCAAGTGAAGAGTTACGTACAGGGATGTACAGGCCATTTAAGCCGGGGAAATCCAGTGACCCATCAAGTGGACAGGTTCCACATTCCCATTGACTGCGACTGGAGATGGGGTTCCACAGCTGTCGGCCCCCTTTTGAACAACACGAATTGCACCCAAACCAAGGAAATGTCTCTGCCCACGATGGTTTTTGGGGCTCCGGGTTGACATGCACATGAGCTTTCAGCTGAAAGTTTCCGAGAGAGCCGTGCAAACAGTCGAAGTTGGGCGCTGCAAATCGGAGTCCCCATGCAGCCGCGCCTGGCCCTTGCGCCTCTTTGAACATACTCAACCTGTTGCTTAAACATGTCGATTTAGGTTTCCTTTTAGGGGACAATGGTCCACCCTCCCAGCAGCTAAAGATGGAAGTCCACAGACCCCTTTAATAGACGACTGTTCTTTTGAGAGGGGTTTGTGTGCACTTCCAGGTTTTTCGGAGGGTAATTGTTTGAACATGTTTGACCAGTGTTTGCGTCTATCCCTTCATGGGGCCTGGGGAGGGCGAGGAAGGAGGGAACCCAAGGCGCTAAGGGCATAAGGGCTAATTTGGGCTCCCTCCCTCCCCTCCCTCCCCAGGCCCCAGATCCCTGTCTTTGTCGGTGCGAAAAACAACTGCCAGTGTTTATTCGCATTTCGACTTGTTGAGGTACGTGCTGGACGGGCACACTGAGTGGAACATCAGGCTGGGGATCTGCTCACTCGCTAGTGACAACAAATCCATTTTGGAGGTCTAATGACACACCCACTTGAGATCCTCTGGTTTGTGTTGGGTATATCCATGTTGGCAGGTTAAAAAAAGAAAAGAAAGAACAAACAAAAAAACATTACAAACAAATATATATATATATATATATATATATATGGCCTAAATGAATGATTGCGGGTCGTGGGTCCCATATAATTCCTACAACCAGATCTAGTCGTGATGATCTACCTAGTTCGAGTGGGCAGGGTGATTTGGAGCAGGTGTGACCCAAGGGCCATCCGCTGGGCCGAGCCGGAGATCCGGAGATTGGCCTCGAAAGCTCGAGGCAAACCTCAGAATCTCCCGCCAGCAGTTGAGTTGGCCTTGCAAGGACCCCTCCCCGATGGGTATGGGACAAAAAAAATACCGCCAGGAATTGGACAGAGGGTTTTGCGTCCATATTTTGGAGGCTTTCCCAAAATGAAACAAGGGCGCCATGAGTCCATGATTCCATTTACCAGGGCAACCTATGGATACCGATCTTGTCCCTCTCCCAAAATAAAACAGATATTTCCACTGGAGGTCTGGTGGAAATATTCAAGTGAAGCCGAGTTCAATGCTTCACACAAACCAAGCCTCATGGGGGCTGGGGGGAGGGAGGGGGAGGGGGAGGGAGCCCAAATAAGCCTTATTAAGCCCTTAATAAGGCCTTATTTGGGCTTCCCCCCCCTCCCCCCCAGCCCCCATGAAAGCTAAATCTGTACAGGAGTGAGAGGGACCCAACCGCTGACGTGGCTGGATAGGATTCAAAGCCCAACCTCCAACCCCCCTCCCAATGGGTGTGGCTCAAAATTTAAGAGCTAGGGTGACGCAGGGTTTGGTTTTTGTTTCCATTTACCTAGGGCCCATTTTGGGGACAGCTTTTTGAGCCACAGCTATGTGCCCTCGTAGGACCATCAGACCCGAAGGTTTCTCTTTGGGTTTCAACCTGACGGGATTGGGCGGGGGTGTTTGGTTTTTGATAGTATTCCGACTTCCCCGGTGAATTGCCCAAAAAAGGTCCAAGCTGTTTACTTGCCATAAAAATGGTCCCATTTATTCGGACAAGAAAAGAGGTACCCGCAAAAACATACCCACCCCCAGGTGGGCAATCCAAAATTTCGATCGACCTCCAAACCGCAAACCGCTGTGCGTCAACTCTCCTCGGCGGTTCTCAGCCATCCCCTTAGTTGTTTAGCTTAGTTTGTTTGATGGGCGTTTCCATGCCAAAAGTTAAACCTTTAGCAGGGCATCTGAGGACAGCCCAGGGTGGTATCACAGTGGACAATGGAGATGGGGTTCCGCAGATGTCGGCTGTATCGGGTTTGCATGGAGCTACCTTTTGGGCGGCCCCCTTTTGAAGAAACCCCAAAGGAGATAACACGAACTGAGTCGCAATCAAAGCCTGAGTACTTGGGAAATTGGTAGTATGGGACAATCCCCGCTGTGGCCGCGGATTTCCGCCTTTGCAATTCTTTGCATGGTGCTGGGTTCGGAATGCTTCTACAGGTGTTGCTTGTGACTCATCTGTTTCTGGGGGGCGAAAGTCAGAAAACGGTTGGTTGTTTCCCTTGAATCTACCACTGAACTTGGTCATGGTCATGGTTCTGGGTAGACTTAGGATACATTTTACATTTTACCAGTGACTCAAAGTAACTCAAGCACTAAAATATACATTATATTGCTGGTCTAACTCTAATCGTGGTACCAGGTTTTGCTTGTGACTCAAAGCCCCCGTCTTCCGTCAGGTCGCTGGAAGAGCTCCGAGAGCTTCTGCAGCACGGCGACGAGGCGAAACGAAGGGCGGCCACCGCCATGAACGAGCGGCGCCTCGGATCGATGTGTCGATCCGTCGATGCGTTCAACGAGATCGGTGGGACGGCCAAAAGCCTGGCTCGTTTTGCATTTTTTGGTGGTTGGTGGGTTGTTCAAGGGAAATCAAAAGGAAAGCAGCCAGTCTGGGGGTCCCTTGAAAAGATGAGTAGTTGATAAGTTGACTAACCACCATGGCTTGGTCACGGGTTTCCCAGCCTTCAAAAGCGGCCATGGGTTCAACCATGTGGGTGGTTCCTTTTTGGCGGCTTCTTGCGGGTTTAAAGGAAATCCAAATGGAACCCAACCATGTGAATGTGGTTCCCTTTTTTGAGGCCACCCTGCTTTGTGTTGGTTTGAAGGGAAACCAAAATAAAGGGCTCCAAGCAAACATCGGGGTTCCCCTAGATTAGAACAAGCTCATGATCTCAATGGGTCAAGATAGGGGACCCCGAAATGGTAGAACCCGCAAACGTCACGACCTCGTGTGTTGTTTGTGCTTTTAGCATTTTAAGGTTGCTGGTTGCCAGGTTAAGTATGCATCAGATGGGGTATGGGATCTTTTGGGGCAGGTGAGGTTTCCTTCCTTCGGGAAATCATTTTTTTTTCAAACTGGAAATGCGCATTTGCTCGGCAAAGAGAGGCATAGAAATATCCTCCAGCCCCTCACATATGTAATTGGGGTAGCTACAGAAGACCAGAAAGATGGAATTGGGGGACCCCAACGCCTCCCTCTTAAGGTGGGGGTGATTTACGACTCAACAGGGCCAATCCACTCCACCCCCTCTCCTCAGGGCTTCTTTGGGCGGCGCCGAGGTCCACGCGAGCGCACACTGTCTTCGTGCTGTCCCTGACCGTGCCGCAAAGAGAGGAAGGCGCGTCCACGGTTAATTTGGGGAACATGCGGACTGCAAAATTCCGGCAGAAAGGATGGGGTTTCCGGACTCCAAACTTCTACCCAAAAAGCAGGGTCCGGGCTCTCCAAAAGTAAACTGGGGTAGCAGCATGTCCACTGGAGTAGCAGCAGGCTTTGACCGCCTATCTGAGGGTTACAAGGGAAAGATTTGAGACCCAATTGCGACCCTCTTAAGATCAGAAGGAGCGGCGTACAAAATTGGATGCTTGAACCAGTGGGTTTTTGGTCAAATCGGAAGACACCCTACCCTGCGAAAGCATTCCAAACCAGCAATTGCAGGAAAGCTCTTCATGCCGTATCCAGAGACCGCCAAAGTCGACTGAACCCTTTTTCGCGAACAGAGAAAGGTGTGCTTTTCTTGGGCTCCACTGTCTGGTCATCGCTGCGGAAAGTTGTCACGGTGTACGACAAAATCGCTCCATACTGATGCATTTTGGCAGTTCTTGTCAATGGGCGACCCTTGATTTGTGGTGTGGATTGGGATTTGAAGCCTTCCTCTTGAAAACAAATGGGCATGCAAAGACCTCTCCTTGTCCCACTTGCAAACAGTAACCTGAACAGTGGAAAAAGGGAACCCTTTTTGGAGTTGATGCAACTTTGGTGTGGAGCCCGCAAACAAGAAAGGCAGAGAAGGGTGCTACTGAACAGCGATGGTCGATGGTTTTGTCCAACATTTGATGAAGCATGCCGGTGTGTGGTTCTTGGCATTTATGGAAACCAGCGCTTGCCGTTGAGGTTTTGGAAAATCAATTCGAAAGGGAGGCCCTTTATAGTTTAACCCTTAGGGTCCAACGTTCATGGTCCCCTAGGGGGGTATCCCTGAATAAGCTGAGGATAAGCCAAGAACAAGGCCTTATCAAGACCTTAATTTGGGGATAGCCCCCCCCCCTCAGGGTCCATGAAACGGTGTTTCCACAACTGCAGGGAATCGGTCCAAAGGCAAACGATGTTGGCAACGTCCGGGACCAACATTGGATGAGCTGGGTGATGGTAGGCGGGGGATGACCAAGGAATGACCAAGTTGAATAGGGAAACGACAAGGCATTGGGTCCCTGGGGAGGGTTTGAAGTGGATGTGAGCAACGGTCAACACGTACTGTCATCTACTTGTAGTAAAGGAAAGGATATTGGGTACACTCACCAAACTACCAGTAGGAAATGGATATTACTCTCACCATCCCATGTCAGTTGGGGCACTCGTGTAGCAAAGGCTTCAGAGGTCCCTGCTAACACCCGTCCGGGATTCCTAGTCTGTTGGTTTGGCAGCTCCCAGCCATCCGGTTCAATCGTTGTTAAGGCTTTTAGAGTTGGTTTAGTGGGGGCGTTCCATTTATTCCATTTAACCCACGTCATCTTTTTAGCAGGCGATCAGTTCGGAAAGCCCAGTTTGGTTTGGGTGTTGCGTGGTTTTGCTTGCCATTTTTCCTGTTTTGTGACCAGCGAGCTGAACTACGTCGAGAACATTTGTCAGTGTTTCGATATAGATCGACCATGCATCAAAAGACAAGTCCCTTCATTTTGGAAAGCTGAACAAGTCACCACAAGGATTCGTCTTGAAGTATCTGAAGAATTTGATCGGTCAGTATGGGGTTTTACATCCATTGCATCTGCAGTGTGGCTGTTCAAGCGTAAAATGTGCGAGCAGCGCACTTGGACGGTTTGTTGTTTCCTTTTGGGCCCCAAACCGGTAACCCTTGAATCTATAGGTTATCAGCCGTAGGCCCCTAGCTCTAAGCAATGGACGGTTCCCTTGTGCCAGTTGATGGATCCAACATGCCTGTGGATGCTGCCGGAGCTAGCTCCGACAACGCCACCGGCGGCGGTGTGCGAATGTTCGCATCAAGCGCTAATGCGCAGTACAACCGCACCCTGATGAATTCCCTTCAACTGTACAATACCGCAATCTTTGCTTTTGGGAATGATGCAGCCATTAGGTCTGAAGCCGAAGCCCTGCATCAAGCAGCTGTCACGCATTTGCAAGCGGAAAACCGTGAGGAGCTCCGTGTCGCACAGAATCAGCTGCATGCACACTATGCTGAATGTGTGCAAGCCCAGTCGCATAGAATTCGTGAATACGAACAGCGAGTGAGCGATGAGTTCATTCAAGAAGTGAACTTCGCTGAAGCTAGGATAAGCCAAGTGTGTGAGGAAAATGCCCAAGCATTGCATGAAGCGGAAATGGGACACAAAACAACTGAGTTTAGGCAAGCCATCGAATCCACCCTGGCGGAAGCCCAGCAGCTCCTTCATGAGCAAGCTGCCAAGCACGCCGATGACACAGCCCGTGTTGAAGCGAAAAACGCCAGGACGATTGACATGATGGCCCACCAAAACGGGCTTCTGCAGGACGAGCTCGATGAGCTGAAAAGGTATCAGAAGCAACACGACCTCCGCGAGGATGGATCGAAGCCCAAAGGGGTAGGTGATACCCGAGAGGATTCACCAGAGTTGATGACCGACGACATGAAGTCAGCTCGGTCCCAAAGGTCAATGTTGGACCCGTTGACCCATCCGTTTCAATATGCAAAGGAAAAGTTGAGGTCGCTTGTTACCTATGACGGTTACGGGGATGAATATACCCCTAGCGTGATTCCAACTGCCGAATGCGAAGCACTGCCCGCAGATGCTCGCGATCCGCAAGGACCAGCTGAAAAGCCATCAGGTAGCAGCCGATCCCCGGTGAAAACAAGTGCACCGGTCCCACCCCTGCAATTCTCTCAGGGGCCAATGTCAACTGACCGCAAGCAGGGTGGTAAGCCTCCCGGCGGTCCGCCACCTGATGATGATGGCGATGGCGATGGCGATGAAGACGAAGGTGATGGCCTCGGGCCTAACCTCGGCCAAGAAGCATTCGCCAAAATGTTGATGAAGTTAGTAAAAGGCCACACGAACGATGAAAAGCCCAGAACCCGCGAAAGCGAGACGTTGCGATTCAAGGAGATGCCAACTCCTGAAACGTACCGTGAATGGAAGACATCGGTTCGTGAGGACGTCCGCGCTGCATCTGACCGTCCAGACGAGGCTTGGCCTTGGATCATGGAAGTCTGGTCCGATCGCGAGGACAAAAAGAAGCTGTTGGAGGAGCTCGGCGAACCGGGAAAGTTCGTGACCCTAGACACGAAGATTCTCGCAGCGCTCACGCGTTCAGCGAAAGGCGATCTGGCTCAGCGAATCCTAACAGCGAAGGAAGAATGTGCCAAGGAGGGAAAGGCCATGAGAGGAAGGCAGGTCCTGTTTATGTTTGATCAATATTTCAAGACCAGTGAAGAAGCCGGAAACCTCTACTCCTTGGAGGACCTGTTGCGTGTCTCGCGACACGGCGAAGGAATCATTGATGTCAAACGCTTCCTAAACGCTTGGGATTCCGTGATCGCCGGCATGAAAAGGCCGCCGGAAGAAAAGGTGTTGAAAGACATCTTGCTTCGCCAAGTGAGAAGCTGCCATCTGTTGCGGTACGACATTGACACATATGATCGTTGCCGTGATGATGATCCCAACAAATCGTACGATTTTCTAATGCGTTGCATGACGGATCTAATCGAGAGGGATAGGCTTCGCGAGAACCGAGAGCGCGTGTCCAAAGTCAATGCCAGTAAAGCCCCGACGCCCAAGGCTGGTGCCGCCGCCCCTGAAAAGAGGGACCCCAAGAAAAAGAGCGCACCTAAGCCGAAGGACACCGAGGAAAAGTACTGCTTTGACTTCCAGAAGGGCTCGTGCACGAGGGGGGCAAACTGCCCTTACGCGCACCGCAAGGAGCCGCGAGGACGCTCCGCGACCCGTGGCAGGCCAAGTTCCCCCAAAGGCAGTAAAGGAGAGAAAGCACCGTGTTCTTTCTTTGCCCAAGGGAAGTGCACTAGAGGTGACAAATGCAAGTTTAGCCATGCCTCCACGGGCGGCAAATCTGCCGCTGCGGCATCGAGCAACGAGGCCAACGCAACTCCTGCGGCCAAGAAGCGTGCAAATTCGCCTAAGCCTAAGCCCAAGGCCAAAGCCGCCGCAGTATGCACTAGGTACGCCATGTTTGCCAAGCCGATCAATCCGATTGGGGTGTCGTTTGACACCAATGCTCATGTGCATGAGATCCCCGCCGAAGGCGATGGTTTCAAGCTTGAGTACGAGGAACGGCAGTATAACAGGATGTTTCCAAATGCCAAGGACTGCCCCAGGCCGACCAAAGGAACGAACAAGGCAGCACGCAAGGCCGCGAACCAGTTGAATGCCGTAATCAAAGCCATTGAGAATGGAGCCCAGCCCGCTTGTGGTTTCATGTGTGATGTGGAATCCGATTCCATCTCAAGCCTGTCGTTTGATGAGTGCCTGAGAATTGCCATGCCGCCTCACGATGTCCGCAAGGATGTCGAAGCGCCAAGGGCAGCCACCCCTGCACCAAAGGGAAAGGATGTGTGGCTTATTGATTCCGGTAGTGAGCAGGACCTCATCAGCAAAGCTGCACTGAGGAATGCGTCCAAGGCAATTCGGAAACAGGCTCCTCAGCCTATTCGCCTTGTGACTGCAAACGGAAACATCACTGCTTCCGAAATCGCCGACATCAATGTCGATGCATTGTGTGAGCCTGCTCAGCCTTACATCCTCGAGAGTTCTCCTGCAGTGCTGTCGCTGGGTGTGAAGTGTCTGGATCAAGGATATTCCTTCCATTGGGAATCCGGGAAGGCGCCAACCATGGTTCGCCCTGATGGTGCTCTGATCCAGCTCAAGGTTGACGGTCATGTGCCATACATGGATTCTAGCTGTGAAGCCGAGCCATTGTTGAGTGCAGTAGCAGCATCCAAGCCAGCGCCTGCACCGGTTCATGACGAAGGCATCGACGAAGGCGATGACCCCGACGACGAAGTTGAGCGGTTTGTGAGATCCCGCAAAGAGCAAGATCTGGTTGCCGAAGCGAGTACCAAAGAGCACTTGTTTGCACACTATCCGAAGAATCCCTTTTGCCGCACTTGCC